ACTGAGGAAGTCTCTTGGATGAGAGACGAAACGTTTCTACATTTTTTTGTTGTTTTGCTTTGTTTTGTTTTTTTGAATGTCCAGAGGACCAGATTTAACTTTTTTAGATTTTTCTACCTGGATTATTGAGCATGCATCAGGATATTATTCAACAACCAAAACAGATTTTGTTTTTTAATGTAATGGCTAGGTATTAATAAACAAACATTTAGCCCTCCCCACTACCCATTTATGTTGCTCTTATTTTGAAATGTAACCAGATGTTCTGTGTTAAGAGAGGCGGAAAAAGAAATTATGGAGACGCTGCTATTGTTGAACCAGTTAACACCATAGACATAATGTGCCTGTGGTACAATCTGCCAATAACGCCTTGTTTTTAGACATTATGTCTGTGGTTAACATAAACACCTTGGTTTTTTTTGTTCAGACTTTTTTTTTCCATCCAATCCGATGCGGCCCTCCAGACACGCCCATTTTACTATCGTCCAATCAAATGTGGCCCCTGGTAGTCTAATCTTCCGAATTTGTCTGCAGAGATACCTACTTGGCTCAAGGGCCCAGAGTGGGGCAAATGTGGGTGGAGGCAGGTGTGGGTGCTTCACCTTTACCACCCACATTTTTGATGTCAGTACTGGAGCTGAACCAGCAATCTTCCAATCACAGGCCCACCTTCTCTAACTTCTTCGTCACCTCTCCAATAATAATAATAATAATAATAATAATAATAATAATAATAAAGTTAAGAGAAAAGTGCAAATGAACCCGCTGGTTTTCTGTCGGCAGACTCTCCTACGTCACCATCCCTTTAAGAGCGTCCAACGCCCCGCACCGTCGTGTTGTTTGTCGGCCACAGATTGCTTTGTTTCAGTGATAAATACAACCACAAATATCTCGATAAATTGTTTGTCTCATATGCTTGATACTTCTCATACAGTAATAAAAGAATAAAATTCAAACACATACAGGAAATCTGAAGTACGATTGTATTCTAAACTGACACATTTATCTGCTAGCTAGTAGTATCGAAATAATTCCATACCAAACTCCGATTAAAAACATGCAACATTAAAGTGCAATATACAAACACAAATTCAGCTTGTTTTGTGACTAATTTTTGATAATTTTCCAGTCATTATCAGTTTAGGTCAAAACGGTCTCCATAGAAACAATGATTTACGTCAAACCTCAGTAAAATGCCCTCTGACGGTACGATGGAGTTGGTTAATGGATCGGCGACCCGTTACGTTAAATTAAAATTAAATGCAGAAGGTTCGTGTTTTTCACTTGAGGACAGATGCCGAATTGAAAACTACATTATATATAGTCGGTTGAATTATACAAATTCAATTTGTGGGAGATCTACATGCTGAAAGTAAAAGGTAAAGCTAAAACCGAAGTATCGCGTACGAAGTTCGGAGAAATGCTTCGCTCAAGCTACTGGTTGGTTTGACACTTGAACAATCATCCGTCACTGTTGCAGCCCAAACGAACCCACACAGGATGCACTCACTTCGCACTTACCGAGAACATCATTGAGTAGACATTTAGGGTGAATTTGATGAAGTAGTAGAAGCGGTTGCTTTTCCGCACTTCAGAGTAGGGCGGCATGGCTGCTGGCTTCAATGAAGCTAGCTAACAAACAGGCTAGCTATCCTCTGTTTAGTTTGCGTAGTGCAAATGTGTTAAAGTAATAACATCAAAAATTATATCTAATGACACAAAAAACGCGTTTAGCAATGGTAATTATTGTTTTAAAAAATGCAGAAATGGTCATTTCAGATACAGTAGTGATAGAGACGGAACCGAAAGCACTTCCGTGCAGCCGGCAACCACACGCTTGTTTGGACTACATTTTTAAAGGCGCAGTCACACAGCCTTTATTAAGAGTTAGCCGACATTTATTACACAACAAAACATGGTCTCATGTCAAATAATAAAAAGATGGTGCCACCACACTAAATGTAAAACTTGCTCACCAGACAAGGAGAGCCTTATTCAGACAGTCACCCAACAGGCAACAGATTACTCTGATGGAGATGAGCAGAGATAGAGGATTTGTCAATGATGCAGTGGAAGAGTGACAGGAAACCGATGTTGTTTAAAGACAAAATTAAAGCCCATTTGTAATTTCCATTTCAAACATGTAGAAAAAGGTGCTGAGGTCACATGAGACTAAAATCTATATTTTAAACCATCATGGTTTAAACCAGTGCAGACATGTTCCTGTTTATAGTTTTCTACACCGCCTTACAACAGGGACGAGCGCAAATCGTGGCAGTGGCAGCCTTAGTGACACTTCCGGTGGCAGGTGTCACGCTGCATCCGGCTTCAGTGGCAGGTGCCACCGCGTGCCACATAGATATAAACACTAGATCCCTCATTGGCTGCTGCGGCACAGGATTTTCGGCCGGCTTCTTGAAACGGTCGTCCTTATTTGGTTAAAGCAGAAGATGTCTCAGCACTTCGCAGCTTATTTCTGTTCTAATCGACGGACTGTTGACGTCAGGTCTCGGGGGATAACTTTTCACAGTAAGATGAACATATTATTGTTAGTATTTTGTGAATATAATATTACTGTACTGTATTTATGTCCACCAGCTGATGTGATGTTCAGTGTAACATGGTGTTCAGCTGCAATGAAGATGACTGAGATCTGATGACAGGAATATTTTGCTAAAAAGCATACTCACTATTTCAGTAGCTTTGGTTCATTATCAAGAGATATGTATCATAATTTGAGTTTTGTTTAAGTTCTAGGAAATAAAAAAATAAAACTAGGGAGAATATAGGAAATAGAAAATAAGCTTGACCTCCTTTGTACAATGTTTTTGTGTTGACACAAATCTTCTGTTTTCATTTTGAAGGTTTCCCAAAGAACAAGATGTGAGGAAGAGGAGGAAGTATCTTTGAGGAGGATTCATCTGAGCAGTGAGGATTTTAAACTGGAGGATTTTGATCAGGCTTTTACCCATGGAGCTCGGCCGGGCACAGCCCGAAGAGGAGACGTGGGTCCCCCTTCCCATGGGCTCACCACCTGTGGGAGGGGCCAAAGGGGTCGGGTGAAATGTGGGATGGGTGGTGGCCGAGGGCGGGGACCCTGGCGGTCTGATCCTCGGCTACAGAAGCTGGCTATTGGGACGTGGAATGTCACCTCACTGATGGGGAAGGAGCCTGAGCTGGTGTGTGAGGCTGAGAGGTTCCAGCTAGAAATAGTCGGACTCACCTCTACGCATGGCTCGGGCTCTTGAACCAGTTTCCTTGAGAGGGGCTGGACACTCTTCCACTCAGGAGTTGCCCCTGGTGAGAGGCGCCGAGCAGGCGTGGGCGTACTTATTGCCCCTCAACTTGGTGCCTGTGTATTGGGGTTCACCCCGGTGAATGAGAGGGTGGCCTCCCTCCGCCTACGTCTGGGGGGACGGGTTCTGACTGTCGTTTGTGCTTATGCACCAAACCGCAGTTCAGATTATCCACCCTTTCTGGAGTCCTTGGAGGGGGTACTGGAAAGTGCACCTTCTGGGGACTCCCTTGTTCTGCTGGGGGACTTCAATGCTCATGTGGGCAATGACAGTGAGACCTGGAGGGGTGTGGTTGGGAGGAACGGCCCCCCTGATCTGAACCAGAGTGGTGTTCTGTTGTTGGACTTCTGTGCTCGTCATAGATTGTCAATAACGAACACCTTGTTCAAGCATACGGGTGTCCATATGTGCTCTTGGCACCAGGACACCCTAGGCCGCAGATCGATGATCGACTTTGTCATCGTCTCATCTGATCTGCGGCCACATGTCTTGGACACTCGGGTGAAGAGAGGGGCGGAGCTGTCAACTGATCACTACCTGGTGGTGAGTTGGCTCCGATGGTGGGGGAGGATGCCAGTCAGACCTGGCAGACCCAAACGTATTGTGATGGTTTGCTGGGAACGTCTGGCAGAGTCTCCTGTGAGACGGAGTTTCAACTCCCACCTCCGGGAGAACTTTGAACATGTTTCGAAGGAGGTGGGGGACATTGGGTCTGAGTGGACCATGTTTCGTGCCTCTATTGTCGAGGCGGCTTACCAGAGCTGCGGCCGCAAGGTTGTCGGTGCCTGTCGTGGCGGCAACCCTCGAACCCGATGGTGGACACCGTCGGTGAGGGATGCTGTCAGGCTGAAGAAGGAGTTCTATCAGGCCTTTTTGGCCTGTGGGACCCCGGAAGCAGCTAATGGGTACCGGCAGTCCAAGCGACATGCGGCTCGGGTGGTTGCTGAGGCAAAAACTCGGGCATGGGAGGAGCTCAGAGAGGCCATGGAGAACGACTTCCGCACGGCTTCGAGACGATTCTGGTCCACCATCCGGCGTCTCGGGGGGGGAAAGCGGTACGCCACCAATACTGTTTATAGTGGGAGTGGTGTGCTGCTGACCTCAACTCGGGATGTTGTGGGTCGGTGGGCGGAATACTTTGAAGACCTCCTCAATCCAACTGGCACGTCTTCCACTGAGGAAGCGGAGCCTGGGGACTCTGGGTCGGGCCCTCCAATCTCTGGTGCTGAGGTCACCGAGGTGGTTAAAAAGCTCCTCGGTGGCAGGGCCCCAGGGGTGGATGAGATTCGCCCAGAGTTCCTTAAGGCTCTGGATGTTGTAGGGTTGTGTTGGCTTACGCGAGTCTGCAATATTGCGTGGATATCGGGGGAAGTTCCCCTGGATTGGCAGACCGTTGTGGTGGTCCCCCTATTCAAAAAGGGGGACCGTAGAGTGTGTTCCAACTACAGGGGAATCACGCTCTTAAGCCTCCCTGGTAAGGTCTATTCGGGGGTTCTGGAGAGGAGGGTCCGTCGGATTCAGGAGGAACAGTGCGGTTTTCATCCTGGCCGTGGAACACTGGACCAGCTCTACACTCTCAGCAGGGTCCTGGAGGGTGCGTGGGAGTTTGCCCAACCAGTCTACATGTGCTTTGTGGACTTGGAGAAGGCGTTCGACCGCGTCCCTCGGGGGGCCCTGTGGGGGGTACTCTGGGAGTATGGGGTACCGGGCCCTTTGATACGGGCTGTTAGGTCCCTGTATGACCGGTGCCAGAGCCTGGTCCGCATCGCCGGCAGTAAGTCGGGCTTGTTCCCGGTGAGAGTTGGACTCCGCCAAGGTTGCCCTTTGTCACGATTCTGTTCATAACTTTTATGGACAGAATTTCTAGGCGCAGCCAAGGTGTTGAGGGGATCCGTTTTGGTGGCCTTAGGATTGCATCTCTGCTTTTTGCAGATGATGTGGTCCTATTGGCTTCATCAGATCGTGATCTACAGCTTTTGCTGGAGTGGTTCGCAGCCGAATGCGATGCGGCCGGGATGAAGATCAGTTCCTCCAAATCCGAGGCCATGGTCTTGAGCCGGAAAAGAGTAGAGTTCCCTCTCCGGGTCAGGGAGGAAGTCCTACCCCAAGTGGAGGAGTTCAAGTATCTTGGGGTCTTGTTCACGAATGAGGGAAAAATGGAGCATGAGATCGATAGGCGGATAGGTGCAGCGTCTGCAGTGAAGCGGGCGCTGTACAGGTCTGTCGTGGTGAAGAGAGAGCTGAGTCAAAAGGCGAAGCTCTCAATTTACCGATCGATCTACGTTCCCACCCTCATCTATGGTCACGAGCTTTGGGTTGTGACCGAAAGAATGAGATCTCGGATACAAGCGGCCGAAATGAGTTTTCTCCGCAGGGTGTCTGGGCTCTCCCTTAGAGACAGGGTGAGAAGCTCGATCATCTGGGAGGGACTCGGAGTAGAGCTGCTGCTTCTCCACGTCGAGAGGAGCCAGTTGAGGTGGCTTGGGCATCTGTTTAGGTTGCCTTCTGGACGCCTCCCTGGTGAGGTGTTCTGGACACGTACCACCGGAAGGAGGCCCAGAAGAAGACCCAGGACATGCTGGAGGGACTATGTTTCTCGGCTGCCCTGGGAACGCCTCGGGATTCCCCCGGAAGAGCTGGCCCAAGTGGCTGGGGAGAGGGAAGTCTGGGCCTCCCTACTTAGGCTGCTACCCCCGCGACCCGACCCCGGATAAGCGGAAGAAAATGGATGGATGGTGATATAAGAATGATTATTTTGATGCTTTTATGTCAATTTATACTTATTTTATACTCATTTTATATGCAGCTTAGCTGTGCAAATCAGGCCTGTACTACAGATGTGTTTTGGAGGAATGAAAATAAGCCTCCGGGAGTGCTCTTGCCGCAAGATCTGGCCCGTCTTGCAGTTACAGTGACCCGAAGTTTGATGTAAACAGGTCTTTCATCCACCCATGACCTTGGGTTTGAAAGACATGTTTTTATGAGCCATCGCTCTGCTGTACAAACTGCCTTGATGATGGAAAACATGTTTTGCTCTGCCCGCATGTCACCCAGTCAGAGGGGGAGTATAAAAAGTGTGACACCCAGAATATCCTGATGCATGCTCAATAATCCAGGTAGAAAAATCCAAAAAAGTTCAATCTGGTCCTCTGGACATTCAAAAACAAAAACAAAGCAAAAAAAAAAAATCTAGAAACGTTTCGTCTCTCATCCAAGAGACTTCCTCAGTCTGAGGTGCTGTTTTCAGCTCAGTCTCTTAAATAGCACCTTCTCAGAGTGGATCAACCAGTTTTGCTGCTGACAACCAAAACCAGCTGATCACATGCTCAAGAAGGACCATCAGCCTAACAATGGA